TGAAGATGGAGGCGATACGTTCCTCCGAAACGTCGGATAACACCACATATACACGGTGCGAAATCCCAGAAGACTGCTTTCTTCGTGTATTATCTTATTTATTGACGCACCTTCCAATGTGCTTATCTTTATGTCCTCTTTGATTTTTCACTTCTTGTCCTCTCCTAGTCTCTTCTTTGGTACAAGAGGCCAGAAGTGGCCGCAGTACAAGGGACTTAGTCCCACCCCACTAGCAATAAAATAATGATAATCTCTCCTCGTACATTTCTCAAAAGTCTCATCCCAGGCATCTGTTATTCTGCTAATATCTGCCTCTGTCTATGCCCAGGTTTCTGCCACATACGTTAAAGCGGTTATCTTATATTGATGGGTTTAGTCCTTTAATTACGTCTGTTGACTGAAGCAAAACAGCATCTGAAATCACGTTTAATCTTATACCAGTTACTTAATTATTAAAATATGTATCGTGGAAATATTTCTTTTATAATTGGAAATTTTTCATATTAATAATGTTTTCGATGTGTTCGTTTCAAAGAAACATATTAGTGAATGTCTTAATATCCAGAATATTTTAATTTAAAAATTAGGGCAATGTACCTTGAGCTTTGCAGAACGTGTTGAGAAAAAACAGACGCCAACTTCCCAGTTAGCTTATTTTTTTTCTAATGATGCACGCTGTAAACGTAGTGGTTGAGGCACTGTGCTACAAGCCAGGAGGTCGCGGGTTCGAATCCCGATGAAGTCATTGGATTTTTCAGTTGACCTAATCCTTCCAGCCGCACTATTGCCCCGGGATCGATTCAGTCTCTAACAGAAATGAGTATCAGGAATCTTCCTGGGGCTAAAGGGCGGTCGGCGCGTAAGGCTGACAACCTGACCGCCATCTGTGAGCCGGTAGTCTAGAAAATGTGGGAGCCTCGACGTCTAACAACCCTATGGGCCTCCATGGCCTGTTACAGGGATAGCTTTATCTTTTTCATTTTCTCCAGATAAAATGTTTGTACCGCCTTAACTTGGTCTTTTTAAATTAGGTAATGACACTTTCTTCACTGAAGATATAACAGTTATGACGCCAGGACTCACTCATCAGAACTTCACTTACGAAAAGTACTATCTTCGTAACCACCGCTGTGATAACCTCAGTTCTTACGTTCATTTATAGAGACATAGAGGCATGACTGGTTTTAAAGTAAGAGAGACTGCAACGTGCTCCTTCTAATAACTGGTCTTGCTTCGCAGGATGAGAAATTTCATGCAGTATCCAACATGCCAACCATATCCGCCATATCCGTCACCATTACAATAACAACATTGCTGATGGTCCAGAGCGGCGGAGGTAGCGAAGCTGAATCATCTCTGACTTCCTCTCACAGGTAAAGCCAGGAGCAGGGTAATTATGTACGTAATGGAAGGATTGCGGTACTTATACTGCTTGACAGAAGGTTGCGAGGCTACACACATGCATTGAACTTACTTGTTTATTGGCGCTAAGGTGCTGCAACCATTTCAGTCAGAGCCTTTCCACTTCGCTTCTGTCCTCTGACTTACTTTCAAAAGTTTTCTTCGTCACTTTTCTATGATCAGTTTTAACCGCATGTGTGCGTGCGTGTTGCGGCGATCGCGTTATTGTTACTGAGACATTGCCTAGCAATGGAAGTCTCTGCAGAGCCGTTCCGTAGCAACGGCTGTAGTTGCTGGCTTACAAATCCTGACTTTCATCAGACGTGCGATAATATAAAATCAAGTCAGTTACACTGATTATACATGAATGAGTATGAGTATGAGGGGTGAACCATAAAAACCGGCCCTCGCACTGCGACCTTCAATCATCTATTGTGCTTCCCTTTTGGATTAACCCTTTATTAATTTAACACTTCGAATGAAATGTAGGACTTTATTTATGGGGGCGTCATAGAAGTCATTCATAAATCATGACTCTCAGAAGAAAAATTAAACTAAAATAACCCATTTCCTAATTTTAAAATCAAACTTAAAAACTTTAATTAAATTCTAGCAGTTGCATTTTCTCCACACCAGAGGGAATGGTTATGCTCTTATTAACGAAGTCCATGGGGAGCATACTTTTTTTTTTTGAGAAGCCAGTCAACAAATCTCCAAAATTTTGCAGAACCCGAAGATTCATTGGCCACCACTGCCCCCTATCCTGAGTTAGATTAATCCCTTCCTTGCCCTCCCATTGTGGGCTTATTTTTTTTTTTTCGTATCCGTTTTAATACTATCTTCCACTATCCTTCATCTAAACCTATGTTTCCAAGTAGGCCTTGTCGTTCGGGGGTTTCTATCAATATTTTCTACGCATTTCTCTTCTCTCCTCATTTCCCGACCATCGCATCATCCTTGCAATATCTGGCGAGGAGTACAAATTATGAAGATTTTTCACCTTTATTGACCGGGAAATCTTCAGATCTTATGTCCTCATTATGCAGCCATTTTTTCCCCAGCCTCCTGTTGCTTCCTTCTTCTGGACGCCAAGTTAGACTACCATTGTTTACCCGAAACGGATTTCGTAACGAAATGTCCTTTGCAGTTGATACAACGATAATGGAGCCGTAGCAAAGTCTCGAGAGCCTCATTTATGAGTACGAAGGAAATTTGATATCAGAACCAAAGCTTTCTGCATTTCTCCTCAGGTTCGACCCATATGAAAGTGTGCCAAAAACGTGGGATTCTCGTGGGCTTCTTCAGTGGTCTATTAAAAATGCAAGCCTGGCTTCGGCAGAGCACGACTTGGAGATTATCTCCCAGAAACGAGTCATATCAATCACCGACTTCGAAGCAGCCACTGGAGTAGTGGATCATGTTCTGCAGGTGAACACATCACTTTCATATTTCTTGGTGGTGTTTATTTGCCGTGTTACTACATGGGGAGTCGGAATAACTTAGTTACATATAGTGACTGACTATTGGCTGGAATACCAGGTTTTGATTCTCGGCGAGGGCAGAAGTTCTTTCTTTTGCACTATATGTAAAACACCTCTGAATTGTATTAAACTTAAACTCAATGGATACAGGAGCGTACGGTAGCGTAGTTTGTTGAGGCACTATGCTACAAGGAAGGAAATCGCGGGTTCGATTCTCAATGAGGTCATTGTATTACTCAATTGACCGAATACTTCCAGCCGCACTATAAGTAGCATGAATTTTCTTGGGGGTAAAGGGCGGCCGGCGCGTAAGGCTAACAGCCTCACCGCAATTTATGAGCTGAGTGTCTAGAAAATGTGTCAGCCTCGACTTCTGAGAACCCTATGGGCCTCCACGGAAGCTTACATTTCTTTTCACTTAATGGATGAAAGGTAACTTTTTCTGGAGTAAAGTGACTGAAACGTGAAGCTGAACATTCACTTCAATCTCTTGCTAACAAAAGAACTTGCTGACTTATATCCATACTCACACTTATATCTCTATGCTGTAGCAGATAATTAAGCAGAAGGGAAACTTTACTTCTACCTTGTTATCATTTGGCCGCTCCTTGCCATTTCATCATCTTTGGACGCAGGAAAGTTCTGAATGGAGCCCATGAACATGTCACTTTCATGAGCCATGCTGATCACGGCATCCATCTGTTCACTTGCTTAATTTGTGAATGTTGCAAATTTCAGTTCTTGAACCTGTCGTCTAAATTAGTGTCGTCAATTTGCCACCTGCATTATTCCTGGTGTTCATTTGGTCCATTTTATTACTAGATGAAGATGACTACTTCAGTACTTGAACCTGTAGTGTCACGAATATACTACATGTAACTAGCACCTGCTCTGATTTACATTGAATCTTGTTGCTGTAGATGAACTACTCCACACTTTCCACGGCCCGCGAGGATGTGAGTGTCATTGTGCGTAAGCTGGACGCTGTGCTGACTCGGGTGCGTCTGGCACCTGGAGAAAGTTGGAAGGGTGTCAAGCAACAGTTGGCCACATTCGTGCTCAACATGGAGCAAGAGCCTCCTGTAGCGGTTGCATTGGAAACAAGAGGGAGAAGTGGAGGCCTGGAAGGCAGCTCTCTGCACGCCATCAGGTCTGCATATGAAATTGAGTCTCCCAACGTAGACGTTGCCGTGCTTCTGCCTCGTCAGCTCACTACGCAGTTCTCCCATATTGCTCTTGCCATTTTCAGCGATGACAGTGCCTTCCAGGACCCAGCTCACAAGGCAAACAGCCGCATAGTAAGCATCAGTATGATCGGAGCCACAGAACTGCAGTATGGACAATACGTGGATATTGTGTTCAGACCTTGGGAAGATAAGGGTAACAAAACCTGTGTTTTCTGGGACTTCACTCTCGCTGGAGGAGCCTGGTCTGCTGAGGGCTGTGAGCTATTAGCCTCAGCTGACACTGTGCACGATGTATGTCGCTGTAAGCATCTGACGCACTTTGCGGAGATAATTTCACCACCTGGCATTGCTGTGGACCCCGCGCATAGACAAGTTCTGGACATTATCTCAGTAGTGGGGTGCTCACTGTCCCTTGTGGGGCTCCTTGGTATCTTCTTTACAGGCGCATCATTTCAGCAGTGGCGTGAAAATCTTGGAAACAAGATTCTGCTACATATGTCGACTGCTGTGTCAATCAACATGCTTACATTTCTAATAGTGGCCACAGGGTTGCTGCGCACATATGTTCTGTGCATGATATTCGGAGTTATGTTGCATTATTCTATACTCGCATCGTTCTGCTGGATGCTGGTGTCGGCTGGGCTGCAGTTCATGCGTCTAATAACAGTTTTGGGGTCTCAGCACATCTCCCATCTTCTCCTCAAGGTCTCTCTGTTCGCTTGGGGTGCACCCCTGCTGCCAGTTGCTGTTCTACTGTCTGTGGACTTGGGTAGCTACACACCTGATGGACGGGGGTTTTGTTACCCTGGCGGCCTTGGTTTTTATTTGGCTGTACTAACACCTGTACTTATGATTGTGACAGCCAATCTCATTGTGTTTGGAATGATACTACAGCGTATGTTCGCCGGTCATACAATACGACGTCACGTGCAATCAAAAAGAAAATTGGCAATGCGACAAGTGACAACCAGTGTGCTTCTCTTCTTCCTGTTGGGGCTCAGCTGGGTGTTTGGGCTGATGGCTGGCCTCAGCACACTGTGTGCCTACTTGTTCTGCGTCACTGCAACCCTTCAGGGCTTCGTACTGTTTCTCTTCTTCGTGCTCGGCGAGAAGAAGGCCCGCCACTATTGGACCCGTGGCAGTGCAATACGCAGGCCTGCCACCTCTACCGCAAGCACACCAGCTGAAAGGATGAATCTGAGAAGGAGGGAAGAGACAACGGGTCCTTGACAAGGGCAGGAGGAAAATTACAGCCAGAACCCGAGGACAGACTTTGCATTATTATCCATGACATTTTCAGAAGAGGTTCTTACAATACTACCGGTAATCTCACAAGTGAACCTGTATGTTGGCAAATAACGAGTTTTGTTATGTGGAACTGCGCTTTCTTCCCTTTATGACAGCAGTGCTGCAGAACATTCTTAATGAATTAAGTGAACCCATGAAACTGGCTAGGCTAATTAAAATGTGTTTAAAAGAAACTTGTAGCCAAGTCTGTCTTGTGCATTTCCTCTTCGTGAGCCGTCAAGAACAAGGACATGTTGTGGGTAACTTCAGCTTTCGCGGTTAAGCCACATTGGCATCTTTTAGCATTCATTGCAGTAGGAGGTGGGAAGTTGGCCATTATGTAGGTCATACGGTGAGTAAGGGTGGGGGAGGGCTACGATGCTATTCTCTGAGAGAGGCCCATATTGTTACGAAGAAAAGCTGCAGGATAATACATGACACCAGAATTTGCTCAGTTTGTGTTAACGATTGTAGTTTAAAAAAAAAATTTTTTTTTTTTTACAATCTACTTGACCACTGTAAGTAATAAGTAAATGTGATGGGTGATGGGTGCTTATGTCATGAAGGCGGCAGCTGCCCAGTGGCAGTACTCTACCTTTTAGTTACATAAGTCTTCTGGCCAGGTTGTCCTCAGTCGTCTTGCTGCTGGGTGCGGTTTCGTTAATTCAACGATTAGCGGGTTCTCGTGTCCTGTTATCCGAGTACGGTGTCTGGTGGCATGTTTTCTGGTCTCTTCCGTGATGATGGGTATGTTGAGATCGTTGTGGATAGTTCCGTTTGTTATGTACCATGGTGCGCCTGTGATTCTTCGTAGTGTTTTCGATTGGAATGTTTGGAGGATTTTGGTATCGGATGGTCGAGCGCAGCCCCACAGCTCGATGCCATAGGTCCATATAGGTTTTAAGAGTGCCTTGTATAACAGGGGTTTGTTCTCCAGGGACAATTGCGATCGTTTTCCTAGCAGCCAGCGCAGCTGTCTCTCTTTCAGAGTTAACTGTTGGCGTTTCTTTTTGATGTGAGTCCTCCACGTGAGTTTTTGATCTAGGTAAAGACCTAAGTATTTGACTTCGGCGTTGCGTGGTATGTTCCTGTTGTTTATTGTTATTTGCGGACAAGTGGTTCGGCGATTGGTGAAGGTGATTTGGACTGATTTCTCGTTGTTTATGCTCATGCGCCATTTGTGGAACCACTGTTGTAGGAGATTTATGTGGTTTTGTAGGTTTGCGGAGGCAGCTTAAAACAAAATACACCTTTCCACAGCTTCGACAGTGAAGTAAGTGAACGAAGTGTGGCTGCACAGCTTTTCCTCAGACTCTCCTTAAAATAATATTATCACTTCCAATTGGACAGCACCACCCTTCGCCCTGCCCTACTATTACCCCACACTTTCCGTGAAAGCAGTGAGTGCTGAAACGGAACTACTTTGACATAAAACCCTGAACGCCGAAGTTACATGATATATAAAAAAACTGTGTGGCTTTTAGTCCTCAAGCGAACTATACCGACTGAGCGACCGCCGCTTGTTGGCGGAGTTAGTGCCAACTTTAGCGGATAGAGAATATCGCGTGGTCAGCTCAATGGATTCCCACGGCAGTTAATCTCGGTTTTCTAGACCGGAGCCGCTACTTTTCCATTTAATTAGCTCCTTAATTATCCTCTCGAGGCTGAGTGAACCCCGTTCCAGAGCCACTACTTGTTAGAAATGTGGTAGCACCGGGAATCGAACCCGGAACCTCTGGATCTGTAGCTGTAGGAACTCTGACCACTAGACCACAGAGTCGGTCATCTACATGACATATGGGCAAGGAAATGCTCTATTGCCATTTCTTTTCAATTTTGCTTAAGGATATGCCCTTTAGAAGATCCAAGCAAATCAGGAGAGATTGAAATTGAATGGGACACAAACTTCCGCTCCATGATCGTCATATTCATCTGCCGGACAGAAACACACACACATACATATACGAATACAAAGGAGAGATATTGGCCCATGTAAGAAGTTTGTTCTACAAGTATACTGGAAATACGGTACGTACTTGCAATAGTATACACGTAATATTATGACCCCCCAGAATAGAGGAAAGGCTGTAAACACAAACCTACTTACGAGGGAGACTCAATAAATAGGTCACAAATTGATATAAAACGTAGAACACATATGATACGTGTGATAGCGCTACAACATAGCGAGAGCATCAATGCAGGGAGCAGCCCGTACGTATACCATCACAAGAATAACCTTATATACATCGCATACTGAATAATGAGCATAAACTCCGTAAGACGTTACTAAGGTCATGACTACACCACCTACCCCATGTGAGAAGATTCCGATATGCGGTCGCACGCAAGGCTGACAACCTTACCGCCATCTCTGAGCCGATTGTCTAGATAGTGTGGGACCCTTAACGTCTCACAACCCTATGGGCCTTCACGGCCTGCTACAGGGATAGCTTTACTTTTACTTACTTAGCTACTTCTGCGTGGCATCGCCATAGCTCAAGCGGTTAGTCGCTGTCTTCCCACCGCGGCGGCCCGGGTTCGATCCAGGGTCTGATCAAGTGGGATTTGTGTTGGACAAAGTGGCGCTGGGGCGGGTTTTCTCCGAGTACTTCGGTTTCCTCTGTCAATCTTCATTCCACAAAATTCTCCATCATCAGAATCACCAGGGGCAGGTACAATAAGCCAATCAGGGCCGCCGTGCCAAGTGGACCCAGTTGGACTCCACCCCCCACAAACGAATTCAAAAAGAAAAATTTTTAGCCACTTCCGCAACCCCATTTCAACCTCTTCATGAGCGAAACCTTTGCCACCTTGTTGTGAACCACTTTACGAGAAAAACGCTTCCAACAGTAAATATGAAACATTTCTTTATGAATATCCTTTGCATTGAGTTACTCTCCCATAAAAAAACGCACAAGAGAACGCTGCTCTTCGATAGCATATTGCTCAAACACCGTCGCACGTGCTACCAACAACATTTTTATATTAAAAATAAATGTATATACAAAAAAGACCTAGGCAATGCCCATCCGGCCCTCTGTAGTACAGTCCTATAAACGTCTTATCCTACTCATACTCCGAGGTTATGTGATTACACAATGTGGATACACTTACTCAGTAAGGCTGGCGAAGCTGCTCTGCAGATCCCATGCTGTTGCTGCAGTCTCGCTATGAGGTGGTTCGACTAACTGCTACGATGAGTTGGGCGTCTGCCCTGTGAAGTTTCACTAATAATATCGAGATAGCCTCGGGCATAGTGCCCGGTGGCTCCCCCTAAAATTGCCAATCAAAGGCTGTTGCGTATCCCCAACCTCAGGTATTTAACATTAACTAACATTAACATTAACTCGTCAGACTTTCTTCATACTTTTCAATTAACTGTAAGAGTTTACTACAATTGTCGCAACTGCTGGTTCAGCGTTTACAAAAGAGTCTTGCCACAAGTTGTGCAAACTGTGTTTACCAGCTTTATTCATTGCGATAGTTTGACTGGGCACCTTGGAGTTCTGAAGTTTAAAATCACCCTATGTGTACCATAAAGGCATAAAAGGTTGTCTTCGCTGAAGTCGCCAATGATTCGGAGGAACATGTTGTCTCAATCTTCAGGGATGAATAAGCCAAGCAAGAAACCAGCATGAAGAATGCAGGAAATAACGTTCAACGGTGTACAGGGCGTTATATTCCAGAAGATAGAACCGTTCATAACCACTCTCTCAATAACCACTCCTATGATAACTTGAAATCCTACAAAAGTAAAAACAATGCAGCCAACCCAACAACTTCTAAATTCTCACTATCAGAGAAACTCACTCAATGCTTATATTTTGTGAGCAGAATGCAGAGCAAAATCAAAATACAAAGATAGCTAACAAATTCTTCGAAAATTAGGCCAAGTTCAAATGTTTTGGAACGACAGTAACAAATCGAAAACTTAATTCATTAACATATATAAAAAGATGAAATCGTGGAACTCTTGCTATTATTAATTTATGGATAATTTGTCTTCCAATGTGCTATATGGAAACTTAAAAATTAAAGTATACACAGTTTTAACTTTACTTCTTTATATGGACTGGATCTTAAACTCTGACTTTAAGGGGAGAACATAGACTGAAAGTTATTGGAATCATCATAATGGGGACAATATTTGAACGTAAAAAGGACGAAATGACAGATGGCTGGAGGCAGAGACATGGAGTGGTTGTATTCATGTTGCACATTCATTCATTCAGCAATGACTCTGCAGCCCTTTGTTGGGCTTTGGCCTCTTCTTCAGTTACGTAAACCTTTTACATAGACGGTAGGACTCCTGGGACGAGTGATTAGCCCGTCGCAAGGCCGCTATCTACATACAGGACAACACAAACAGAATAAACACACACAGAGACATCCATGCCTTGAGTGGGATTCGAACTCATGATCCCACCGTCCAAGCGAGCGAAGACTGTTCGTGCCTTAGGCCACGCGGCCACTGTGATTGGCAATGTTGCACATACATCAGCATACGTTCACATTCCTACCCACACATGCGACTATATATGTAGATTAACATTTGCAATAATTTTATTATAATTACTTTTATCAAAATACTGTCTTCATTTGTAACAACATGTCGTTATACTCTTGTTAAGTTACCTTCTGGTATATAAAACAACTGCCTACGAAATGTTTAATCTTTATTAATCACTCTTTCTATATCTCGTCCTTTCCCAATAAATACTGTGGCCTGATACTTATCATAACTTAAGGCCTCGCAAACTCTTGAATATGTCCTCCTTAGTGGAGTGCTACCACTTCGCACTGAAACTTTGCTGCTGTTGCTGAGGGACACTACATTTTCGTTCTGATGTCTCGTTAGCGTGTTGCAGGACCCAGTTGGCTGTATAATTGTTCAGCGGCTGTGACGTCACGTCCCAAGCGCAGGGGCACAACGGCGAGCCCTGCAATCAGAGATCCGAGTGAGTCCTTGCATGGCCGCGCCATAGCTCTAGTGGTTAGTCGCTGGCTTCGCACCGCTGCGGCCAGGGTTCGTTTCCCGGTCTGGTCAAGTGGGATTCGTGGTGGAAAAAGTGGAGCTGGGGCAGGTTTTCTCCGAGTACTTCGGTTTCCCTTGCCAATCTTCATTCCACCAATTGCTCCACAATTACCCTCACCTATCATCTGGGGCTGGTACAATAGGCCAGTAGTGACCGCAGTACAAGTGACTTAGTCCCATCCCACTAGCATGTACGACAAATGTACGAGTCCTTGCATCAAAGGCGGGTAAAAACCCAAGGTCTGGGCCATGTTCCTCGACTTGTTAGACACGTCCCGCTTGTGGGGTATGACCCTCGGTTGGGTGGGTTGTGAGATACTTCAAATAATTTATATAACACTAATTCTGTGGAGCCCTTCTTGAGAAACCGCCACGTGTACAGCTACTCAAAAATTTCCCAACATTTCATGGAACCCGAAGGTTCATTACCGTGTTCTCAAGAGTCCTCCACTGGTTCATATCCAGAGCCAGGTCAATCCAATCCATACCACCCCAACGTATCTAAGATCCATTTTAATATTATCCACCCACCCCGCCTTTCAGTATTCACTAGTCCTATCCTGGCAACGGATTTATCACAGTCGCACTGTAACTTCAACTCAAACGTGAAGTCTTCTTTCCATTGCCTAATTCCTCTCTTGCCATTTCCGAAGACTCGACCCAAATTCTCTTCCGACTACTGCTCTGTATTACTACAGCTTCTGCGCTTCCAATCCGAATTCTCTAATCTAATCTCCCCAGCTCAAGTCAAAGTCAAAGTCACATTGACACTAACGGTCGGTCAATCAGTCAGAAAGTCTTGGTGTCGAGCCCCAATATCTATTACTCTTTGACAGTTACAGTCTTGTTTTTTGTGGGGCGCCCTCTCTAACGAGAGGACGGGTCTGTCTTTTGTATATGCTACTGGACCTTGCCAGCGCAGTCTTTCTCGGGTCCGAGTCCCTTGGGACTCGCGACCATATTTTATTGTCTCAGATTTGAGACTTCCCTTTATCGTTGACTCCTAAACTCGCAGGATCACGGTGGAGGTATTCGACCCCGCCTCCACACGGGTCTCAAACAAGTCAAAGTCACATTGCGACTGACGGTCAGTCAGTTAGTAAGTCTTGGTGTCGAACCCCATCTGGGGATGACCAGATATTTATTACTCTTTGACAGTTACGGTCTTGCTTTTTGTGGGGCGCCCTCTCTAACGAGAGGACGGGTCTGTCTTTTGTATATACTGCTGGTCCTTGCCAGCGCAGTCTTTCTCAGGTCCGAGTCCCTTGGGACTCGTGGCTATATTTTACCCTCTCAGATTTGAGACTTCCATTTTTGTCGCCTCCTACGACTCGCAGGGTCACGGTGGAGGTATTCGACCCCGCCTCCACACAGGTTTGGTCTATAACTACAAACAGACTCTCGTTACATAGCCTAGGGTCAGACCCCATAGGAAGCACCGTCTTCTCTTGTCGAGTTTTGTTGTGTTACCTAGCAACGCGTTATAGCACGGTCCACAGATATCACAGCTCCTATTGTTGCGTGTTCGCTGGAACGTGTATATTGAGTCGTTGCCTAGCAATTGGTCGATACGTCACAATATTAAAACTAGAATATGATAACTGTGCAAGCAGACACTGACTGAGGTACTTCCTTACGTACGATTGTACCTGGCAGTGAATGGGACAAAGTCCCAGTGAGGACGCGAGGAGGTTGGCGGTAGCCTGGCTGAGTCCGCGGGCCAGCACGTGCAGGAGACGTGAGCCCTCCATGGGACGGCCCTCGGTGAGGATCTGGGACAGAGCGAAGATGTAGTTATGGGCCAGCCGCAGCGTCTCGATCTTGGAGAGCTTCTGCTGGGAACTGGAGCGTGCGTTCTTCAGTGGAATCCGACTGTGGGAACATTTCATGTACGAGGGAGAGTCAGTAAATAGGTCACAAATGGAAGTAAAAAACGAGGTATGTTTTCTATGTGTATCACTAGGTAGCAGCACCGTCCAGGTAGCAGACGCGCATACACATTTTCGGACGCTGGTTTTAGTAGCCAAAATGGTAACTGTGCTTGAGGAGTATACCACCGAAGAGCAGCGTTCTCTTGTGGGCAAATTGACTCAGTGCAATGGATATTCATAAAGAAATATTTCCTGTTTAAGGTGGGAAATATTTATCGCGTAAAGCGGTTCAGTCTTGCCGGCAAACATTTCGCTGTTGACGAGGAGGTTGAAATGGAGGTGCGGAGGTGGCTGAGACAACAGCCAAAAGACTTCCATGCTGCGGGTTTCGACACACTGATAAAGCGATGGGTATCAGTGGTGGTGGAGGATATGTCAAGAAACAAATGTTATTTCCTGGTTCGAATATTACACGTCTTACTTTTTATTTTCAATTCTGACCTATTTACTGACTCTTCCTCGTACTATACAGTGGTACATCAGTTACCGTGGGAATAAAACATGAACAACACCGTCCCATGTTATTTTTTCATGTAGATGATAATCATCTTTAAGGAATTGGGATTTCTTAGAAAGTGCGATATAATTCAGTATCCTAGTGTACGATGTGTAAGGAAAGCACTTCTTCAAAATCCTGTTTCTGATATTTTCATTCACTTTATATTACGCTGTGCATGGGTCTACCCGCCCCTTTCTCCTTGAAATATTCGCCCCTTTTCGCGAGCCTTGCATTGAGATTGAGAGGGGACACTCTGGCGTTAAGGAGACTTGTTTCAATTCTAGTCTTGTTTGATATTTTAAAATCTCTTCTTTTTTCTACAACTGTCTTTCGTTTCAGTAGACAGCCGGTCGTTCTATCGTCTGTTGGGGTGAGTTTGTTTCGAGTATCCCATCTGCTCGGCCATATGCTCACTTGCTAGACAGACGCTGGGTGAGGCCATTTTGGTTCCCGTTTCCTTTTATGGTCGTTAAATCAACAGAGAGGAGAGGGGTAGGGTGTGTAAAGATGGGCCCAAATGGACCATGTGGCCCACTCTCCCTCCCTTCCTGTTTTTATATAACTGGGTATTTTCGACTGGTGGCTCAGACTGCAGCCACCTGCTCACGCTGGTTTCTCACTTGTGGATTGTTCTACCATGAAGATGGAGGTGATACGTTTCTCCGAAACGTTGCTTCACATAAGATCTACACGGTGCCACATCCCAGAAGACGGCACTCTTCATGGTCACCGCCTTGTAGACCTCAAATCTTACATAGTAAATATATTGACTGAGCTATCCTAGTTCTTAAGTTTAAATAACATTGCGGAATGTAGACCCGTTGATATGCGACGACTGTACAGCGACCGTTGCTGGGCTGCGGTCCGCAAAAAAAAAACTGAGGAATGGTGTTTTCTGTACGATCCGCTAAGCAACACTTGAACAGCAACAGAGGAACCGTGTTTTCTATGTGGTCCGTGCCGAGATGTTATACGCAGGATAGTTGGAGCAATAAGTTAATTGTGGAACAGTCGCCAGCCGGTAAAAAGATGAGCACGGAAGTAGAGGGCATTGTTGGATCTTTCACCAGGCAACGACTGGTGAAGAGACAGCAGACTGAGAAGACGTCGTATGTGCTATAGTGAACAGCAGATTGTTTGAACTAGCCATAGTTCTATAGTTTACCTGTGGTTATAAGTAACAATGTTAGATCACTTATTGTTATTTGCAGGTTCTAAGGAAATGACTAGCAAAGCTCAACTCGAAATTCAAAGGGGTACTGAAGAAACGTGGGTTTTAGCAGTTTAGTTCTCTACTGCCTGAAACAGTTTTTTTTTCTTGCCACTACAGCCCCAGTGGGCCTAGGCCTACCTCCATGAACTCCTCCGTTCACTTCGGTTTTTCTAGATCTTACACATTCGGTAGGACTCCTTGGGCGGGTGATCAGCTCGTCGCAAGGCCTCTACCTGTACACAAACACAGAAAAACGCACACACACACACACAAACTAAACATCCATGCCCTAAGTGGGATCAGAACCCACGATCCCGGTTTCCAAGCGAGCGAAGGTAGTACATGCCTTAGACCGCTCAGCTACCGTGACCGGCGCCTGAAACAGTTTACAGGGCTGAAAAGTACAGCCTTCTGAAATGTGACGCTGTTTAGTCCGCTAGAAGTTCAGCGACGTTTGGAAGGAACGTGCAGCTACCTCCCACATCTTCAGGTTCGAGTTTTTCTTTCTTTCTTCTGCCTACTTCTTGCTGGCTGCTGGCTTCTCCTAGTCTTCTATCCTGATGACGGAGACCATTTGTTGCTCCGAAACACCGTAAATTTCTACCGGAATACGCAACGCTACATCCAAGAATACTCTTAAGCTTTCCAGTTACAATTCTGAAAACGTCAAATGTAAAGGTTTAGAAGACCGGATTTTGTGAATATATTTATCGTTTGATATTGTCACGTGTATGAGTGACTGTAGACAAGGTTTTGCCTGGTAATTGGATTTAATGAACACTTACAGATCGTAATTACAAGTAACTATACCGCTATCGCTAATTCATTACAGCACGAATTAAACCTTCTCAGTCTGCTGTATCTTCACTAGTCGTTGTCTAGTAACGGCTTCCAACGCCGTAACTTCCTCAGCTTCCGTGTTCACGCCCCTAATGCCTGGCGACTGCCTCCGAACTAACTAAATTCCATTTAGGGCTGAAACATGTGTAGAAAGTGAAAGTGCAAGAAAGAAGGAACAATCTGTTGCAGTGCTGACGGACTGTGTAGTATATAAACAGTTTTAGATATCGTAATGCAACAGGATGCATGTAATATTTGAGTGTAATTCAGAGTAATATGGCGAAGTACCACACAGCATTTAAGAACAGTACAATATAGGGTACAGGATGGTGTGGTAGCTCAAGTAGGTGTAGCAACTAGGCTATAGGTTGGACGACTGGGAGTCGTGGTTCGATTCGCGATAGAGGCGTAAATCTGACTACTCACATCCATCTCGTTCCGACTTACGATCTGTGGAGCTATACATCCACTCCGCCATACGTCTTCATAGCTTTGTGCTTAATTAATTACGGTCACGGGTAATTTTACCTGTACTTTTATAACACGTAAATATTCTAGAACAAAACAGGGCATAAGAGCAGAGTACAGAATAAGATTTATGAAAAGTTCAATATGGCATGTAACTACACAGTACAACACGGGATATACACGTAATATGACACAGAATGCAGCGTGTAGGAGCAGAATACAATATGTAACCATACAGGACAATTCGGCACCAAAATTCGCAGTGCAATGTTATGATTGAGTACAATCTGGGACTTAAAAACTTTAAGACAACTTTAAGATACAGAATGTTTAACGACGCAGTATATAATATTCCAGTTCAATACAGAATGTAACAACATTGCAGAGCACAGGACTCAACGAACGGTTTGTGAAAGGTTACGTACAGAGAAAGTACATTCAACACGTAAGTCGGTTTAAAAATCGACAGCGACATATCATAATCTCACTGAGTTAGTCCTCAGTCCCTCCAGGAAAATGTTGGGAATGTTCCTCACATCAGGACACCATAGCTTCCTTCCACATCCTTTCAATTCATTTTGTCATTAGCCATCTTGACATTAGACGATATGTAGCCTGAGTTACTGATAGAATCAAGTAAGCTCTACATATGGTGGCATGAAGACCCGTTGATAGGCAACGACCGCGAAACAAGCAACTATACAACGGCCGTTGCTAAGTAATGGCTCCTCAAACAAGGATTTTTTCGGCTGAAAAAAATGCGCTGCAACAGAGGAACGATGTTTCTACGCCGTCCGTGCCGAAATTTTATAAGCAGGACAAGTTAGTAGTCGGTATGATGGTGAGTTAGTTAGGTAACCGCTATGGTTTAGTTGTTATGAGCTGTTATTGCGAGAAGTTGGTAGCTGAGGTCAGGGACAGTTCGGGACCCAGAGGAAGGGGAACGTCCGTCGTTGGAAGCCGCTACCAAGCAACTGTAACAGACTGAGAAGACCTAGTGTGTCCTATAGTGATTTGTGAATTGTGTAGAATTGCGAGAGCATAATCCTTACGTGTACTTACGAGCTGTAAGAGTCCAATAAATCCCATTACCAATCCAAACCCCGTCTATAGTCACTCATACACGTGACAATATGGAGAAGTACAGGAATAAAATGTTTCAGTATGACACGATATGTAGCGGACAGAACGAAGAGTAGGTGCACATCACAGAATGTAAGGGTATACTACGGCGCAACAGGATATAGTGACACTCTTACAGGTAGACTTTTCGGTAACGAGACAATACATTAGGGTATACACGGACCAGAAGCGTACAACATAGCATGTAAGGACACAGTAGAGCGCAAGTTGTTATTACGTAAAGATGTTGCATAATAGGTCTATAATATCTGAGGATAATAGAAGAAATACGAAAAATATCCGGAAAGTAAAGATACAAAGTCCAGAAAATATTTGTAAAGCATCTGTTTTTGGATTCACTTGTAGCACTTTTACACCATACCTTTATTTACTTTTCTACAAAGTTACCATGGATCGCAATGCAATTAGCGAGCCTGGGAATTAGTAATTTTAATCCAGCGCCGCAGAAATCCCCCGCCCGCTTTTTAGCCATGGAGAACATTTCTTGACACTTCTGGACATTGCTGATGAATGAAGAAAGCAGTCTTCTGGGATTTGGCACCGTGTATATGTGGTGTTAACCGACGTTTCGGAGGAACATATCGCCTCCATCTTAAGGGTAGAAGGAAAAATATAAGAAATCCGCAAGCGAAGAGACCGTGAGANGGTTACACGTCTGTCAGCACGAATATTTTCATCAGTGACAACGGATGACCTTCCATTCCTTATTCCTTCATGAACGTCACTTCTTCCCGCTTCAAATTCACGGGACCATTTTGCCACATTTTGCCAGTTCACAACATCTTCACCGTAAACAGAAACAAATTGGCGATGAATTTTAACAGCAGTTTCTCCTTTCACGCGAAGAAATCGAATTACTGCACGAACCTTACATTTGGCGGGATTCTCAATCGACACGGCCATTCTAAGCACAACGCTGCCATGACTGCCATCGGTCATACGGTTGCTATCTCACATGGCAGCGCTGCCATTTCTGAAGAAAGAAAAAAGTCCCTTGCATTTTTACTGGACGTGTATCTTTACTTTCCGGATATGCCCGTAATCTAACGACACGGCAGAACGTAGCGTATGAAGTTAACACTACATTAGTGTATGTGTGTGTGCAAAACAGACAGGAAAATGTCCAATCAAAGAACATGGAAATATAGTAGTACTAAATCCAGGATCACAGTAGGATACAAGATGTAGCAAGTTGAAAAAGAACACAGGACCCATGTTCGCACCTTCTGAGCCGGTCCAGCGCCGCGTTCAAGCCGTGCATCCTGTGACGTTCCCTGGCGTTCGCCTTGTTCCTGCGAGGGTCTTGCTGCCGTCGCTTAGTACCGCTCTCCATGTCTGACAGGTGTCCACTCCACTCAATTAGCGCGATGCACCTCTATCTGCCATATTGACAACGAGGCGAGGCTACACGCTGCGGACGGTTTGGTTTGCCTTGCCTTCTTTCTTATGGGCTGTTATTGAGCGACGCTTCCTCTAATTCAGACTACATAGCGTCGAATGACAGGATGAATAAATGAACAATGAATTGTAAAGGGCGATGACGATAACAGTCCTGCCCTAATTTGAGGTACAGACAATCGTAGTTATATGCGAATCCCTTGTTGGCCGTGCAAGACAGGTAGGGGGAGGGCACAGTAGAATATTGTTTTGATGGGAGAGGAGTGCGAGGGTAGAAGGGAAAATTATACTCTATTTATAATATTCCAGCAATTTCACTTTCGAACACAATTTCTGCATAAACTGAGAAGTACCTGTACTATCCCAGACTTACTTACTCATGGAACTGAGCCCTTCTTGAGGAGCCGCCAATTCTGCAGCTTCTTAAGAATTTCCCAGCATTTTATGGACCCTGAAGTTTCATTACCGTTTTCACAAAAGCCCTCCACTGGTCACTAACCTTAGCCATATCAATCCAATCCATACAATTCCTTCCTATCTCTCTAAGATCCATTTCAATACTATCCACCCACCTACGCCTTGGTCTTTCCAGTGGTCTCTTTCCTTCTGGCTTTCCCACCAATATCCTATATGAATTCATCTTCTCCCCATTCGTGCTACATGCCCTGCCCACCTCATCCTCCTTGACTTGTTCCTTCTAATTATACTTAGAGGACCCTCTACTAAAAGAGCGAAGCAACTGTTGAAGTTAAACAGGAACCAGCTACGATGGGTGGTAGGACTACTTACAGGACACTGTCACCTCAAAGGACATTTCTTCAAATTGGGACTAAGTAACAGTCCTACTTGTGAGAGGTGTCAAGAAGAAAACGAAATAGCCACACATATCATGTGCAAATGTGTGGCCTTAGCTTATTTAAGATTGCGCCACTTGGGTCAATATTTTATGGAACGAAGTGACTATTTCGACGTCCCCACGTACAAATTCCTACGTTTCAGGATTGTTGGGGGGATAATCAGAAGGGGAAGCACAATAGATCACTGTGGTCTCGGTGCAGGGGCGAAGAAGGCCCACCCCTTATACATTCATAATTATACCTGGAGAAGGTACTTTCCCAGACTGGATGAACTACATAAAATCATGCATAGTAGGTGTTCCCGCCGATATTCTAACCAAGGACTTTAGAATACAAGTCTTTAAGTCTCGCCGCCTGAGCCAACTTGGTCTCGAGGGCAGTGAACCCGATGTGGACGAAACGTCCCTGACTTCGATATTACTGGGTTTTCGGACTTCGCCCATCGTCTGGTATTCTAGAAACTAAAAAACAGAGCCTTTCGGAAAATGGATTGTTTCCGTCCTCAAGTACACCCACTTCACTGGCTTCAGTTCACAACAACTATAAACAAAATCAGTCTGAATGAATTTGATTTACAAGGGCGAGTAGAATTTTTGCCGTCAGCCCAGGACATTCTGGGCGCAGCGAGTAACACGTGTCTGCCATCTGTCGCCCTTATCTAAATCAATGCTTCACCCTTATTACAGCGGCAGATAAGTCAGCTTCATGCACCAGCTAAATCGAATGTATCTTCATCTCACTCAATAATATATTCTTCGGAATTTTGCATTTCTTTCGCCGGAATAGCTCAGTCAGTATAGCGCGTAGGCTACGAGCTGGATGACCAGGAAATCAAGGTATGATTCCCAGAAGCGGTGGAGATTCCTCTCCTCTCCACAGCGTCCAGGCCAGCTCCGAAACACACCCAGCCTCATATCCAATGCGAACCGTGGGTTCTTCGCCCCCGGGAGTAAAGCAGCCAGAGAGCGAAACTTCATAGAGTGGCGAGTTTAAGAATGTGTAGAACTATACCTTACTCCAGCACGCGTCTTCGTGGTGTGATACTTAATTACAGGGACGACTTTACCGACCGTTCACAATTTAGGAAGATGACACTGACAGTAAGGCCGATCACAGTGGCCGGCCGCGCGGTCTAGGTCACGAAATGTTTTCGCTCGCTCGAACACTGGGATCGTGGGTTCGAATCCCACTCAAGTCATGGATGTCTGCGTGCATTTAATCTGTGTTTGTGTTGTTGTGTGTTTAGGTAGCGGCCTTGCGACGGGCAGATCCCCCGCCTAACGAGTCATACAGACTCTGTAAGAAATTAAGAAACTGAAAAAGCGGCAAAGGTCCAACAAAGATCTATAAGCCAAAGACGGATAGATGGATGAATGGGCAGACAGATAGAAAGAAAGACGAGAAGGCAGGCAGGCAGACAGAGAGAGAGACAGACAGATGTTAACAGTAAATTTTGTGAACCTATTTCGGGCAGAGCGACAGAAATTTAATGAGATTCACACACCAGCGCTGCTAATTACTGATGGGCTGGCCTACTCAAATGCCATTGAATTCATTTATAGTAGTTTATTATGGAATGATTATACAGATGTAAGTAACACTGCTACTCTTGATGAGACATGAAAGGATGGAATAGGTCAACAAATGTTAACTATGCAAGATTTGGAGTTATCACGGCAGTGAATATCTAGTAGGTGTTTACCGATATTTAGAGGTGCCTGCTGCCTCCATCTTCATGTTAGAAGAGATAACTCTTTTTTAATGTGAAGTCTGAGGCATCAGGTTTCTCTGAAACCTACCTACCGGACCACGCTAAGTCACACCACAGTTCAAATGGGCCAACTTCATAAAAACATGAGTCATGTAATTTACGAAAGCCACTTAAGTCTGACTTCACCAGAGAGTTGTCACTTTCACTCACATAAACATACCTCACAGGGGTCTGATGTGAGGGACACTAGACACATAATCAAGGGGACCATATTTTTGAAAGGAAATCTGTGACATACTTTAAGAACAGAAGAACTATAGTAGAGATGGAAAGGAGAGGATTAGGGAAGACAACACTGACATGCTGAAAACTGATCATACTTCTTCTCTAAATATCAGTGGATTTTTCAATTGACCTAATCCTTCCAGCCACATAATGACACCAGGGTCGACTCAGCCTCTAACAAAAATGAGTACCAGGAATATTCCTGGGGGGTAAAGGATGGCCCATCAGCATGTAAAGCTGACCTCACCGCCATTTGTGTGCCAATTGTCTAGAAAATGTGAGAACCTCGATGTCTCACCCTGTGGGCCTCCACGGCTTGCTACAGGGATAGCATTACCTTTTACCTCTTCTTCAGAACAAAGAACATGCATCTCTCAGTTATCTCACCAAATGGGAAATTCTCAGAAGCCATTTACTTTTAACTATACTATGCGTGAAATTTTGTAAAAAGTGATTGACAGGACATTGGCCTAGGGGACACAGGGGTTGAGAGAGTTCTCAATGTAGGATATATAAATGAGACATTACAATCAAAATTTATGTTTCAAANTGAATATTCCTGGGGGGTAAAGGATGGCCCGTCAGCATGTAAAGCTGACAACCTCACCGCCATTCGTGTGCCAATTGTCTAGAAAATGTGAGAACCTCAATGTCTCACCCTGTGGGCCTCCACGGCTTGCTACAGGGATAGCATTACCTTTTACCTCTTCTTCAAAACAAAGAACATGCATCTCTCAGTTATCTCACCAAATGGGAAATTCCTGGAAGCCATTTACTTTTAACTATACTATGCGTGAAATTTTGTAAAAAGTGATTGACAGGACATTGGCCTAGGGGACACAGGGGTTGAGAGAGTTCTCAATGTAGGATATATAAATGAGACATTACAATCAAAATTTATGTTTCAAATTATCTTTACAGTATAAATGTACAAACTGAGTTTTCTACATATCTGTCTTATGGATTCTCAAGCCAATATCAAAGAAGCACATCCCCCAACATGTGGAACATAATAACACTCCACTACTTGTCTGCTGTCTCAACTCTCAGCAGCACTTTTCCCACATTCTTCCGTTCGGCCAGCAGCCTCATGGCCTCTACAACCTGCAACAAACAGTTCAGGAAGTTTTGGTAGCAAGCAAGACATTCTCTAGTAATACAGAATCTACCAGCAGATCCAAATTAAAGCTTGAGGCTGTACAACATTAGAACCCAGTGCATACATTTGGTTACTTCCTGTCCTGTGCCGAGAAGCTGGAACATAGCTCAATTTGATTTTAAAGGTACTGAGTCTGCAGAACAGAACAGCATTCTTTATGGGTATGTCACACCTCCAGTAGGCAATGTTATGATAAGTGTCATGTCATCAATGAAATCTCCACTGTGGCAGTTTTGCTTCCCATCATAAGCTAGAAACAGAATCTGGTGATTTTCTAATTATGACCTTACTCACTACATTACCAGAAACGTTCGATACACTATATCTGAGATTTGAGGTTCTCATAGCAGTGACTATGAAGATCACTGTGTTTTGGGATCTGACACTGCAGCCTGCCAGATCAGTGTCCTGAAGACAGGAGCAGCAGTGTTGTGCCCGGATAGGGGGCACTTACTGTACTCACCCCCTATCGGACGTCCATGGATATCACTTAACCTATGCTGTGGAAAACATGCTTCACTGGGAGGGTCACAAAAAACTCGAGTTCTCAAAACAAGAACAAAAAGGGAATATATAATCAAATAAACCACTTGTACAACTCTATTCTAAGAACACATTAACCAACCAAAATAATTTAAACCAGAAGTTCTAATAAGCAATCAGTGACCCGACCACAGGCAAGTACTCACTTGCACTGAACGTGATGCACATGAAAAACACTGGCGCCATCCCAAGGTTTTCCACAGGCACACTTTGCTTCACTCGTCCGTTTCTTGCAACTGCTAGAAACAGAGTGCCTGAAACGGCCTGTTTTTTGCCCAATTCCAGGATTCAACTTTTTTCCCCCCAAGTCGCGAAAGCTGCACGCGCGAAATCCCTGAGGTTGGCAACTTGCCGGACATGCCTTGTTGCGCGAAGCGAAACTTGACCGGGCCTTTCCACTGATGCGTAAACAGTCTTCTCTAAAGACAATTTGATCGACTGACAAGGAATGCGAAGAGACAGCCGCGGCTCTGTCTCCTTGCCTTCCGGCCAGCTGTCTGGCATTTTAACCTAAGCTTCAAATCTTACAAAAATTATACTTAATAACTAAGAAAATGGGCACAACAGCAGGTTCCTTGAAAACAGTAATGAACTTCCAGACTACATGGCATCACATACCAGAAGGCAGTGATCATCATGGGCACTGCTATGACACCAGTAAACCAATTATTCATGTGGGGAAAACTAAAGAATACTCTGCCCCAGTGCTACACTCATCAACACAAAACGTGCAAAGACTGCTCTACATTTAAACCCCACATGCCAAATTCCAGGCAAGGAGTCTTTCTTTTTAGATATACGTTAACACTTCCTATCCAAGTGAGGAATTAACCTTATCGAATGGCCATATGGAATCAATGTGTGGCTTGATTTTCCCCTGCTCATACAACTGGAACAAGTGGCTCATGGCTGATTGAATGGTGTTGGGCTGCCTCTCCATCAGCAGGCCAAGGTGCAGACCTGCCACTACACGGTTCTGCATAATGAGGTCCCTAGCACTGACATTTTTTGTGCTCCACCATAGCCGCAGAAAACTCCACCACCCAAACTTCTGACTATCAGTCACCATACTGTTTGCGCCTGCAACAGCACAAGAATAAGTATTATTTTCATTCATCAGAGAGTTAGCTCTTAATCTTTAGCTGACTTGTGGGAAAATTTTTCACAAAAATGAGGCGTGAATACCACACGTTAACTTACCATTAGTTACATAACCTTTCGTACTATTCATTTTCCTTGTCACCCCATATTCCTTTGCAGTCCTATATATTACTGAATGATACATCAAGGCTGACAATTAATATCAACTCCCACGAATAACTTGCACAAATAGGCAATCAGAAACTGCATCCTGTACATGTATTATACTTCATACATCCACATCAAAATATTATCAGTACTCACAGAACAGATGTAATACGCTGACACAAAAGACTTCTCACTTGTTCATGACCTACTACAGAATTTACATTCATGCAGTATGTCAATGCCCAAAAGCACATCACTGTGGTAGCCCAAAACTGGATAATTTCAATGATAAATCTCACATTTACAAAAATTTTTGACATAAAAGATGAAATAAAATTCGAGCATAAGCTCTATATCTGTATCTTTATTTTAATTCTATTGATCCTTACTGGCTAACAAAGCCATCAGATATAGAACATGTCACATAAGTTGTCTGACAATAAAGTTCGCGAACTTATCGCTGTAAAAGTGCTACGTACCTCACTGCTGAATATCACTGCCATCACCTTCCAAGTACTATCCCTGGGAAGCTATGCACTGATGCCAGCGCCTTGTCCACCCTTCAAAACAATTTCGGAAGTGGTTTTGTGGAATGGCCTTCACTAGCTAAAAACTCCCTCACAGACAACGTTCTTCAGTGAGTTCGTTTAGGACCAATTTTGCACACACCTTCCTCATGTCAAGATCTTCAGTTAAGATTTTCCTGCTTCTCTGTCAACGTTCACTTGCTATGCTATGCTACTGACAGTCAGCTGATGATTTTCACATACAATTTGACAAACTTTTGCAATATTTTCTTCAGTTCTGCTCATTGCTGGCCATCCTGATCTCTCTGTCAGTGACACTTTCTCTTCCCTCTGAAAAACGTGTCACCCACTTGTAAACTGCCGTTTTTTTCATAGCATTATCCCCGTAAACTCGCACTAACATCTATCTGATTTCGCTTCCATTCTTGCCAAGTTTAACAGGAAATTTAATGTTTGTTTGTTGTTTTAATTCAAGCTCAGACATTCTCGCGATGGTACAACAAAACACACACAATAACAGACTCCACTCAGAAAGGGACTGCCACAGATCAACAACACAGCTGTGAAAAGCTGTTAATCCAACATCATTAAACCATACTGGGGTTTCTGTCCATTCCTGCCATGGCAAGCACAGGTTGGTGAGTTCGCGAACTTTACTGACGTATCTCGTATGCATACATTAGTTTTAAACACAGAACCAGTGACCTTACAACTACATTCATAAAAGAAACAACCATTATAAATAATTCAGTAATTTAACAAGCATATAGACTCATCAACTTGACAGTGATACCTTATTAAGTTCATAGCCTAAATATATATATAAATATCTGATTATAATTAATTAAAATATACAACGTACTATATAAAGAGCATTATAAAAGGTTTAATTCGTCTTGTATTTAAAATATTCACCTAATGTATAAAATGAATGGAAACACAAAACTGAACATGAAATGGCAAGACAACATCACAGTGTCTTGAAATGCTAGTTTCAGTGTTGAGATCTATTGCCAGGAGACGACTAGTGAAGATGGAGAATCCTAGTGCATGTACAACGGTGAACTGTAAAGTGTGTAAATCAGCAATAGTGCTGTATTGACCGTAATTAAGAGAAGCCGTAACCAAAGTGCTAATAAATCCAATCATCTGAACTGGAACCTGTCATTTTCATCGTGCGTACCACCCTACACATGACAATATGTTACCTTCTGATATAGCGACAAATGAGATGGTGGGTGTTGCAAATCATCCACCATGATCACTGAAGGGCAAGACTTGGTTTAAAAAAATGCACAATTTATGCCCCAAAACAGTTTTTAACACATTCAGGACCGGAGGGGCCAATTGGCCCTCTACATTTCTATAGAATTGCGGACCAGGCGGGCCAACTGGCCCTTTTCTGACGCGTTATGTTGCAACTGACTATATCTCGCTGTGTGGCCACGTTGCATCATAACTACTGCGTACGAGTAGTTGACCTCGGGAATGTTTGCTAGCTTAGCCAGTAACATGATCAGGCTCATTTCCTGTCACACCCTAAAGAAAAAAGCCTTTGTTGGAGTCCAAGCTTCCACGTATGAACCAGGAAGTTAGCAGTGCAACATGGATCAGAGACAAAAGCAGTTGCAGGTGAAGCGTTCTCTCGGAGAACAAGAAATATTAGATTTGTTCTCCGATGAGCTATCAGATTTGCCAACTGCTTCGTCTTCTGATATCGAGGCCAGACTCAGTGAAAGTGACATTGACAGGGGCCACAGGGCACCCCAAATATTGCATACATCTGCAAATTCTGCGTGATGCCTCTTCATAATGGGGAATGTTTCCAGAGATATCACATGCACAAGCACTTCTAGGAGCTCTGGTAAGTGTTCTCCAAAAATTTTAGTTCATAAAATTAATTAGGAGATTTTATATTAATTTTTAAAGTGAACAGTGCACAAGTTAGGGTGCTAGGCTTAAAAACCCCGGTCCCCAGGGTGATTTAAATATTTAAACAACCGGTTGGCAATGTGTTAAGATACATGTCGCCATCAAATGAGATGGCATTTCTCAGCAGTGTTGTCAATAATACAATACATAGTGAGCTGTTAGGTATACTGAAGACATACAGTGCACCAGAAGGGTCAATGGATTGAATGATCATGGAATATATAAACAAAGAATGAATACTGCAGCATGCTCTTAACCCTCAGTNGTACATGTTATAACGACGTTGGTATTGCTGCACAGGAATACATGTTATGTTATCTTGGTCCATATTATCTTAACACAAATGTTTTTTCAGCAATGGAAGCAGTGTCTCCATGAGGCAAAATGTGTCATGGCTACGGCACACATGAATGCAGGTTGGCCATGGACTGTGCAGACACCAAAATTCCAGCTGTGAAATGAGGGCTGTGGAGAAGCTCAAGCGATATTGCACAAGGATTGGAACTTTCCGAACTAAGGAACCTAAAACTATTTCTCAATTGAACAACTTCACTGCATGAAACACACTGCAGTCACCTAACAGTTTCCTGTAAATCATTGAGCCACTCAGGGATAAATGTCAGGCATCCCTCCCGTTCAGCCGTGCCATGATGATTGACACTGAAAAATCAACAAAGCTACAGCCTAATGCATTATAAATCAATCTTTCTCAAATTACAACACATGCTGCAAATGATATCTACTGTCCCACATGCATTCCTAGCATCTCTGTAAATACTTGAAACTTGAAACTCTGGTCCCCTGAATAGATCTGAGGAACTTTAAACAATATTCAAATCCAGTAACAATTTAATGTAACTTCTACTTACTGAGAACTCACACTTTTGATTCTTTCCTCCCTGTCATGATGAAATCAGTGTGGGGTTTGGCCATCCTCCTCATAAAAACAGTCAGAATTTCCAATATCTGCTGTAAACGAGGTACATTTCATTTGTAATGTGTTGGGCCATATGTTTGTTGATTATATTCATAATCAGAGTATCCATGGCAAAACTAGGTTAGAGGAGAGTCTGACACCTCTGCCTAAGTGACTCAATGATGTGCAGGAAGCTCCAATATGACTGCACTTCTGACACCAGTTGTCACATGTTAGTGACTACAGATGGTATTTGGATTGGTAAATGGATTCATTGAACACTTTAACCTTTAAGTGCCGAAGTGCCCCATTTGTGCCAGTGATGAGTAAGCTCGTTGTGGCCAAAGTACCCCGTTTTGGCCAGTCGGGCATTTAAACTCCACTAGGGGAGGCGCGCGCACACGCCACTAGCAGAAGCGAATGCACAGTCCTAAATATTTATTTTTAAATTTAGTAATTACCAGACAGACTTGAGTAAAGCCATAATAGAAAAATTAAAATGATACCTAAGTGAACAACAACAAAAAGAGTATACGTATGAGTTATGCCCAAACTCATCCACGAGCCAGTAATTTTATTGCAGATTCTGCAGATTGTGTTAAAATATATAGTAAAATTCGATGTACATACCTTTTTTGTTGTTATCTGCTTGATGTATATATAGGCTGAAATAAAACTACAGTATTCGATTTCACTAAGCACGCACAGAAAACAGACCGAACTCTGAATCTCAGCCGCGATGCAGCTGTCTGTTCAGGCCCATAGAAAGGGCAATAAGCTTTTGCAGCTATAACGGAAGGTCTTAGCACTGAAGAAGGGACCCCTCTAGCTTTCTCTTGAATAGCCATTCTTTCATTCTTCTGACCTTCAGTCAAAAGATTCGGAAATCCGAAGAGTGTAAGCAGTGCTAGCAGAAGACCAAATGATTTTATTGCTTCCATCTGTTTTATGACATCAGGGACTGCTAAAATTTGTCAAGTGTTACAAACAGAAATGAATTTGTAATGCAGAACAACTCTGTGAAGAACTGAGAAATCATTTTTGCAGTACGCATCAAAATTAAAAGGCAAAAAATTGAAAATGGAGTATAATTTGTATAAAAAATTTCAAATCTTCCGTTATAATATGCGACAGTATGTTCTTTGCTGATATAAACAAAATTAATTCCATTCATTTATCACAAAAATTGAGCTAGATACAGCATTTTTAAACACAATGCTTAAAATTGTTTAGGCGCACTAACAGAAATGGACATTTAAATGCACAGTACCGACGGGCATTTAAATGCGCACCAGCAGCGGGCATTTAAATAAACTCCGGCCAGCTCAAGCTTACCACCATTTCAGAAGTCCGGCATTTAAAGGTTAACACACAACCCGTGACTATACTTCACAAATCACTGTCACACACAGACTGTCTGTATGTGTCTGTTACAGTCTCCACTAGTCATTACTTGTTAGTGGCTTCCAATAGCAGATGTTCTGCTTTCTCTGGATTCCAAAACTATCCTCGGCCTCAGCCACCAGCTTCTCACAGCAACAGCTTACAAGGACGGATCCAGAGAAGTTCTCTAACTAACTGCTCATCAACTGACTCATTTCAATCCTCTTTACTCATCTGCACTGCACTCACTCATTGAACTGAACTTGGTCAGTCAAGTGATATAGCCTTAGGGTGGACCACATAGAAAACACCGCTTCCAGCAGTAATTCCATGTTGTGCATGGGCCACCATCTGGCAATGGCTCCAATACTGATGCACATTTACGAAGCTGTTGCCTAGCAATGGCAGTTGCCTCATTGTTCTGCAGTTGTTGCCTGCAATGGGTCTATGTGCCAATATATATATTCTCACAGATCGCAGTGAGGTTGTCAGCCTTAAGCACTGACCACCCTTTGTCCCCCACGAAGATTCCTGGTACTCATTTCTGTTAGAAGCTGACTCGACCCCAGGGCCAAAGTGCAGCTGGAAGGATTAGGTCAACTGAAAAGTCCCATGACCTCATCAGGAATTGAACTTGCAACCTCCTGGCTTGAAGCATAGTGCCTCAACAAACTATGTTACCGCATGACCAATTTTGCATAGAGGGACTGAGGAAAACTATTAAAAACCTCACTCAGGATAGCTGGTACCCTAGCCAAGATTTAGGTCAATCACACCCAGATGCAAGATAGAAACTTGCAGAGTTTCCTCTTGTTTTATCTCACTAATATGCAGAATCCTTTGGAATACCTGTTCCTCTCACCATCAAACTAATGGGTACAGCCTATTTTCACACACACTTACCTGTTTCCACCTCATCAATGTGGAAGATTTACTTTGATTCTGTTCTCCCTGTTATTTGTCACCAATAACCAAAATCCCTTTGCCTACTTGTTCTTCCACATCTCTGAATAATGAAAACAACCTCTTTAAATCCATTTCCCTATTTGTGTCTCACCAATGACCACGATCCGTCCCAAAGGTTTCAGCAGACGCTGGTTTATGGTGAAGGCACTGCTGGCCATGTTGTCAATGATGATGTCTACACCATCAGGACTATGTTTCAGTAGCTCCTGTTCATAGCCATCATAGGTCAGTGGATGAGTAACACCATTTTCTCGAACTGCGTCATGCTTCTCTGGGCTACAAGTACCAAAGATGGTAACATCCCCTGCTGAGCAGGCAAGCTGGGTGGCTGCCCATCCCACTCCACCTGAAAGCAACCTTAACAATCACCTAAGTTCTTTGGAACAGTATATATTTCAGGCCTACTCTAAGCAAATAAAAAATACATCTCTGAGAAAAGTAAAGGAGGCAGCTTTTTTAACTTCATTTCCTGCATTCTTACTAAAATTCCAGACTAAGACCTGATTGTCACTGGTAAAATTATGAGATCACTAACTGGCTTTACACGTGCCATTGGACAGGATATAAGGCCAGTTCCAGCCACCTCTCACTCTCATATGTCGCCCTAAGGCATTAATGTTATCCTCCCATCTCTTTTCTGGTCCTACAATCTGATGTGTTCCAAAATGTTTCCCATTCAAAAATACTGCATAAATCTTTGCCTCTCCCATCTAAGTCACAAGCTCAGCCCATCTCATCCTCATTGATTTTACACCACCATAACATTAGTTGACCTGTCACAAAGTTCCTCATTATGTGATATTCTAAACTGCAAATTTCAGCATTCTTAAATCCAGATATTTCTATGAAAACATGATTTTTAGACTCTGTAATATCTGTTCCCCCTTCACTCACACAGATGCAACATTAACGCGAAACATGATCTGAAGCAACTTGGAAATTAGAGAGACGATTAAGTTGTGAACTACTTCAACAACCATTTTTCTCCTGATTCCATCATGGGCCTCATTCCTCAATGTTAGCAATGTTCCAAGATATATTTTAGAATATTTTCTAACTACTTATTATGTACAATTACATTATGAATATGACTGTTCTGATGATTTTGAATATATTTAATTTAATTTAATCTGCATTCTCTTCCATACAAACTTCCTCAGTGGCTTGTACAATTTTTGTGATATTGTTTCAGTATCTGCATTTTCTCCAAATATAAAACATCATTAACATAAACAAGAACTTAATTTTGGCAACTCAACCTCTGTATCATTCTAGAGCAAAATTAAAAAGCGATGGGGATGAATCCTCTCCTTGTTTTAACCCACTCTTAACCAGAAAACAACAGTTACACACATACACACTTTACTAGATAACCAGCAAATAACTTGCTTGCATATTCCAAATGCATTTAAAATATTATACAAACCTTCTCCTTTACCTGAAACATAAGTTTTCTTAAAATCTATGAATAACTCATGTACTGAACCAGTGTATTCACATTTGTTCTCTAATATTTGTTGACTAGCAAACATCTGAGCTGTTACAAAACAATCCATGACTGTCAATAACTTTATAGAAAGACAGTGCTGTGGCAGTACATGGGACTGAAATAAGTCCTGCAAGCACTGACACTGGGTAGCACCTCACTTACTCGATTTACTTCAGACACACTCCAAAAGGGAGAAGGAGCTGCGAGAAAACTGGGCATATTCATTTTACTCACTGTTTCCCAGTTAGTATTCTCTGAGAGAGAGTAAGATTAAAGCCCTGTGCTTAACTAATTATGCACTATGCCATGAAGATGTAGTGGGGGAGTGGATGTATAATCCACTTATTCTTGACCCCTGCAGCTGCATGCCCCATTCACTTCACCCCCAGGAAGAGCTCTCAGTACCTACTGCATTGAAGGCTGGGGGGGGAGCCGGTCTGGACGTGGAGAGGATAAACATCTCACACTTACCACGACTCAAACTCTGACCCCTCAGTCATCCAGCCCATAGCCAGCCCTTATACTGAATGCACTATCCCAGCTACCATGAAAGAGAGTAGGTCCAAGAAAAGTTGGTTTGAAGTAGCAACTTTCTACCGCCTGTGAGGTCAGGAACATCACAGGATCTTGAAATAATTTAGTATCACTGTAAACAAATACATTACACTATATACATAATACAATTACACAGGAACTCCAGTGCTTACCTGAGCTCTGCTACTAACATTGATGACTTTCTATGATTTCTCTGTTCACCTCTCCAGCTTACTGAGTCCCTTATTTTGCAAAAGGGACAATACGTTAACAATGCATTAGTCAACCTGGTTCAAACCACAATCACCCACATACCTTGGTAGGTCATTTTACTATGACAAGAGTTACTATGTATCCTCAGCAAACTCATCCACCCTTCAGTATAACTCATCAGTCAGTGAGAAGGTTCTTGGTTCTGTGCGACACCTGGGCACTGTACTCTTACCAGTATTTCTCCCTTGCAGAGCAGTTTGCTAAGATGCCCCAGTGAGTCACTGATAAAATGTAAATGGCAAAAGGCCCCTAGCCCCCTGTGTTCACTGTTTTTATAACTAATTATGCTATGCTGGCAGGTTTCAAAGAATGTGGCATGATTCACGGCACTGTCCTGACAATGTGACTGATCTGGTCACAACTGTCACAATAAAATGGCTTCTAAATTATGGTCTACCTTTCAGTCTACAACTGATAGTGTGTGAACCCTGTCAAAAGAATACAGAATAAAATGTCTGAAGCTCACTAAAGAGAGAGATTCCTCAGGTATTACTACAGTTAGTGTTTTTATTCTTCCCTTTCATAATGTAGCATGTAGAGCCATTACTACACGATGACTGTGAGACTGGCAAATATACCAGACCCATTTCTAGGCAACAACTCAGTAAACATGTTCTCACAGCAATGAAGAGACGCACAACAGAGGTACACACAGATAACTAAGAAAAACATGACATTTCGGAAACTGGATCTGTTTCCGTCCTCAGGTGAGGGAAAACACCTATTCTGTTGTGTCCCTTAGAAAGAGCTAGCCTCAATCACTGGACCAACAGTTATCTTAAACCAGGACAATGGATAAAGTCCGAAAATCCAATATCTCTGTGTGTTATACACCATTGTCAGAATCCAACAGTAGGTAAAACAGAGGTACAGTTGGAAACGGTGAGCTTCTGCATGGTCCCTGCCAGAGTTATAAGGAAGATAACTGGGGCAACCAAGTCAGTTCTGAATAGGGAGCCTGGGAAGAGAGGACTTGACCACATGATGCTGAAGAATCCCAACCATTAGAATGGCTAGTGAAGACACAGCAGGCTGAAAAAGGTTTAGTGGGTGCTGTGGTAATTTATGAATTGTGGAGATTAGTGGTGGCGCTGTAATTACTTGTAGTTCTGAGACATGTGTTAAAGTGGTCAATAAATCCATTCACCAATTTACACCCCATCTATAGTCACTCTAATTCATGACAATATTGTAGTTCTGCCCTACTCCAAATAGAACTCGTTGCGGTAGAAGTGCTACATACCTCTTTGCTGAATATCACTGTGGTCACCTTAAAAGTGCTCCCCTTTGGAAAGCTATGCACCAATGCCAGCACCTAGTGTATCCTTCAAAATAATTTCAAAACTGGTTTTATGGAATGGCCTTCACAGCTGCAGCTGTATTACTCCTGTTGTCATCAATGTCTTCAAAATGCCTTACTTACTTACTTACTTACTTACTTATGGAACTGAGCCCTTCTTGACAAGCCAAATTTTCAGCTACTCAAGAATTTCCCAGCATTTTATGGAACACGAAGGTTCATTACATGTTTACAAGAGCCCTCCACTGGTCCCTATCCTCAGCCAGATCAATCCAATCCATACCATCCCATCCTACCTCTCTAAGATCCATTTTAATATTGTCCACCCACCTACACCTTGGTCTTCCCAGTGGTCTCTTTCTTATGGCTCTCCCACCAATATCCTATATCAGTATTTCCTTTATCTTTGGGAACAGAAAACGTCATTGGAGCTAGATCTGGTGAACAGCAAGGGTGTTCCAGCACAGTTATTTGTTTACTAGCTAAAAACTCCCTCACAGACAGCGTTCTTCAGTGAGCTACTTTTTGCACACAACTTCGTCATGTCAAGATCTTCACTTAGGATTTTCCTAACTGCTTCTCTGTTGATATTCATTTGCTCTGCTATGATCCTGACAGTCAGCCGACAACTCTCAGGCACATTTCACGAATTGTTGCAATGTTTTCTTCAGTTCTGTTTGTTGCTGGCCATCCTGATCTCTCTTTGTCAGTGATACTTCCTCTTCTCTCAGAAAAACATGTCACCCACTTGTAAACTGCTGTTTTCTTCATAGTATTATCCCCATAAACTAACATCTCTCTCATTTCGCTTCCACTCTTGCCAATTTAAACAAGGAGCCCTGACATTCTCGCAAAGGCACACCAAAACACACTCAGTCAATAATAGATGCCACTCAGAAAGAGACTGCCATAGATCAACAATAACAGAGATGTGAAATGCTGATATGCCAATGTCATCAAACCATACTGAGGTTTCTGTCCACTGCTATGGCAAGCACATAGTTGTGAGTTCGTGAACTTTATTGTCAGACCACATATGGAAGAAAACAAAGAAACAAAAACCTTAGGCAGATTTCAAGCTTTCATGCGGAATAAATGCATTAAATATTTTTTAATGATCAGCCATTTAAAGTGTGAGATAAAGACCAATGTTTTTGGGACCTGCTCTGTCTCCTTCATCAGGGACGATATGGGAGGTGAACATAAGTCACTGATAAATACGTCAGTCAATGTGGAGTCTCCTTATGGGAATGTTGGATGATGGGAGAGCAGGCAGATCAAGCAGTCCTTACTCCCACTGAAGACCTGGTTTCATGTTACTAAACCTGGACACTGATCCGCCATTCACCAACCAGCCTCAGTGCGTAACCTGACTATACATGGACACAACAGTAATTCAGTGGACGGTCCTCATGTTTAGCTCTGTTTAAATCTCATTAAGCATACTTTTATTATTTTCAAAATAAGGAAAATAGAATAAAACTGTTCCTAGTAACTGATCACCCAAGAAGATTTTAGCTCAAACAAACTCTTCATCTCAAAAGAAGTGGGCCAGAAGTGACTGACATCAAGTACTAACTAAATAACTTGTTGATGAAGGTACCTGCACAGGATGATATGAAGATGCTCTGCCCAGCACGCATGTGTCCGATGTCGTGCACACAGAAGTATGCTGTCAAGTAGTTGGCTGGTAAGGCTGCACTGTCTTCATAGCTCATACCAGGAGGCAGCACAAAGCAGTGTGATGCAGCAACTACCACATGATCTCGATATAGGCCTCCAGTGAACTTGTAGCAGAGAACATGGTCCCCCACCTACAGAATGAAGGAGAATTCCTAGATTTCTTTGCATGCTGAGCAGACAGATTCAAGAAAACTGATCGTCATGGCTTATCCTGTAGGATTCCTATAGCCAGGTTGGAAATTTACAAAAACTTTGGTTGAGACCTGCCTGATGTTACAGTGTTTTGCAACTGGAACATGGTTTAAAGCAAGGTAATTCCAGACTGCTCATGCTTTTCTTCCTTGCAAATGACCCTATTTCATCATCCGATTCTGGTCACAATTCAAATCTGGTATCTCCAAAGGATAAAGCACATGTATCAGATGTGCTTGGGAGAGCTGTTGGCAATTTCCTCTGCCAAAATAACAAGGAACACTTGTAAAGAGCACTGTAAATGGTCTGCTCACCTTGATGTGCGCTACGGCAGCCCCCACAGCTGTCACCTCCCCAACGCATTCTGTCCCCAGCACAAGGGGTGGCTGTAGCTCCCGCAACATACCCTGACGGGTGTACAGGTCTGAGAAATTCACGCCACATATCGCCACGGCCACCCGCACATCACCTGCCCCAAGCGCTTGGATAGGCCATGGCTTCACCTGCAGAAAGAGATCAGCAGTGCATATTTCCCAAACCCTTCACCTATGCCACCCATCACTGAAAACTTTCGCTACTCACCTTCAGGCACTCGTACCCGCCGTAGCCAGTCAAAACGACCGATCGCACCTCCTCGCCTGCTGACATCATTCTGGGGAATACAAAATAAAGACTGATTACTGTTCATTTTGTTTCTTCGGTTCACTAACGCTGTAACAAACACAGATGCTGAATGAGAAGTTGTAGGATGACTACAAGTTTCAAGTTTCAAGTCACGGATTATCCTGGTACTACCGTCTGAAGCGTCTGAAAGACGTGGATTTCAGCAAGAGAACAGTCAAATCTCTATAGAATCGTTCTACTCCAACAGATTATCGCAGGCATGTACACTGCAGTGAATAAATTGTCGAAAAACCATCAGTCACCTGATTAACAGGAATAACTGTTAGCGGTCAACGGATTATCCCAAGAATCTGTACAGCAGCGAATCGATTATCGAGAGGCGATCAGTCGGCTGATTAACCAGAAGCGGCCCGAACTACTGTTTTGCTGTCAACCAACTATCGCGGGAACATGTACTGAGGTGAACAGATTATCAAGACGACATGAAGACTAGTGTCAGTCCCGTGATTACCCTCATCTACGATGTGTTGTTACTTAGAAGTTTACCGACGTTTCAGAGGAAGGTACTGCCTCTATATTTAGGTTAAAGGAGTAAACAGTAAAATTTGAGACACCAGCTGACTATCTCGAACTCCTTTGCACAGCTCTTCATGGTCTCAATTAATATCCGAATGTCCATGTTTTAGATCTGGCCATACTCGACAGAATGGACGGTGGATTTGGCCGAGTCCACTAAGTGAAATAAGATTTGTAGGTAAGTATGGGTTAGTCAAATAAATGCTGGGCTCTGGTTACAGTGCATCACCCTCCTTCCCTCGCACATATATCTAGGAAAGTATCTTCCCATTCACAATATATTTACCCCACACGAAAAAAAAATCTCCCGTAATATCTCAAGCGCTGTATATACCTAAGGCAGTGGCTTCCAAGACTTACATAATGGCGCCTGCTCAGCTTAGCAAAGATTTCATCGCAAACCCCCTACTCCACTTTGTATGTTTTCATAAAGAACAGCTTTTCCATGTAGGATCTTAAGTTCTCCTGCGGTGGTTATGAATCTTCTGAAATATAACGCCGCGCAGTCCGTTGAAAGTCAGCCGACGTTTCGGAAGAATATTCCTCTATGTTTGGGGTTCATGAATAAGCCAGGCAAGGTACCAACCTCAAGTAGGATACAGGCCAGTGGTGTGTTCTGGTGAACATGTGAATAAACCTTCGGGTTCTATAAAAGGCGTGAACTTTCCTGTCCAACAGAAATATCATTAGCTTCTTAAACAGGACCCTGCTCCTTGGAGTTCATGGCTCTGCCTACAGCAAAAGCGTATTCCATAGTGAAAAAAAAACTAATATAGTTCCCTAAAGTTTATTAAGCCTCACTTTGGGCCGGTCTATAAATAACATTTCAGAAAAATAGAAGATGTGTTCGATAAAACGAACAGAATATCCATTTCAATAGCACAATAATACAAAATATCGAATTACGACAAAATGTTCGGAACCGTTTATGGGATGAATGGAATAGTTCATGGCCTTATGTGCAGGTTGTATATTAACTGTCTTTACAAATTTACTCGCGAATAAGGACTTTATATTCAACATAGGACCATTTTTTTCTTTAGTGGGGTGAGACTGAGTCTACTTCGTACTACGGCCACTTCTGGCCTAATGTACGTGCCCCAGATGATTTTCTTATTGCTAGTGGGGTGGGAATAAGTCCCCTGTACTGCGGCCACTTCTGGCCTATTGTACCAGCCCCAGATGATAGGTGAGGGTGATTGAGGAGCAATTGGCGGAATGAAGATTGGCAGGGGAACGCGAAATACTCGGAGAAAACCTGCCCCAGCGCCACTTTGTCCACCACAAATCCCGCATGACCAGACCTGTGCTTGAACCCGGGCCGCCGCGGTAGGAAGTCAGCAACTAACCGCTTGAACTATGGCGTGGCCAACGTGGGACCATGTGTCATGCGTATAATACTCAAGCGATATTCTCGCTCCATCCGTCTACATTGCAGCCATGTGAACATCAGCTGTTGCAGTAGCAGCCTGAATTGTGTTCCACTGTGAGTATTCGGCTCAGTCGCCACGAACCCGCAGGAGAAGGAACTGTGTTTGGTGAGGTTTATCGAAAAGAAGTCGGATACACAGGTCCAAAGACGTTCCAGAACAACGTATCAAGACAATCGAAATGTACTTTGTGAAAACACTGTAAGGACACATACATGTTTTGCGTGAGAAAGGCGCAGGGCGTCCAGTGGAGCCTGATGAAAATGTCGAAAGCATATGCGAGGCCTTTGTCCTCAGTCCCCTAAGTCGACTTCAGCTGCAGCACTTCTTGCAAATGCCGCATTCCAAAGTGCATGGGCTGTTACAAAACCATTTGCATCTGCACTCTTTTCTTGTTTCCTTGGCACTACAGCCCCAATGGGCCTAGGCCAACCTCCATTAATTTCTCCTTTCATTTCGGTTTTTCTAGATCTTACACATACGGCAGGACTCCTTGGGCGAGTGATCAGCTCGTCGCAAGGCCACTACCTGTACACAAACACAGAAAAACGCACACACACAAACTAAACATCCATGCCCTGAGTGGGATTCGAACCCACGATCCCGATTTCCAAGCGAGCGAAGACAGTACATGCCTTACACCGCTTGGCTATCGTGACCGGCATCTGCATTCTTAGAAGTTGCAAATTGGCGAAGGCCAATAATAGGATGGATAGGATAGCCCGTGACCAATCTGTATGGCCAGGTTTAATAAACTGGACAAACACACTGAATTTCTGAGAAAAATCATGTTTTCTGATGAGGATACATTACACGTTTCAGGGAAAGTAAACAAATAGACGGTGCGCATCTGTGGATCAGAACACATACATGGTACAGTGGAGCACATCAGAAACAGCCCCAAAGTCAATGCGTCTTGTGGCCTGTTGCACCGTCGTTTGATCGGACTCGTTTTCTCTGCAAGAGGCGACTGTGACACTCAGAAACTACATGATTATGCCGGAAAACTTTGTCTGTCCAGTCACAGGAACTGCAGCGTTCCATGTTCTGCCAGCAAGGCAGCCCACCAGCACGCCGAAGTTTGACCGTGTGTTAATTTCTCAATCAGCACTTCCGAAACCGATGGATTGGCCGTGTTGGTCCCATCTCTTGGCCAGACAGATTACCAGACATCACATCATGTGATTTTTTTTCCTATAGGGATATGTAAAAGACTGTGTACCAAACTGCAGTGGCCAACATCAACGACATACGGACGGGCATTCAAGCCGGTACTGCAACACTTAACGTTCATATACTGCACTGTACATGGATGGACTTGGACATTGTACGTGTAACAAATGGTGCCTATGTTCAATTTGTGTACTATTCAGAACTCCAACAGTTTCTGTCGCACAAACAATAAGGCTGTGTCGTTTCATACAGTGCTTATTGATTAGTAAAGTTGCAAAGATAATTTATATACTGTACTTTGGTGTTTATTACCTCTCAGTTTGGCTAAAAATCAAAATAGTATACTAACGTTATACACAGATCCTTCATACAGAATTGTATTAAACTTTGATCGACGACTTATGATACAGATGGAGAAATTTATGGCTTTATCTAAAGTAGGCTTTGTCATGATATCGATATCGAATTAAAAACAAACAGTTTACAATATTATATTTAAGCATCCTGTTGCACTCTGTTGCGGCCGAAACACGTAGTGTAGAAGAAAGCAGGACGAAAGACCTACAATATACTGTTGCACTTAGGACGGAGTTTATTATCATATAAAAACAAACCGTCCAGGGGTTCAGGCGCCGATAGTGGGATCGGGAGACCGACTCCATAAAGGACGTTCGCTTTTTTTAATTCGTAAAGAATGTATAAAAATCCTGATATGGAAACCACCTTTTCTCTCTGCGACTTGATGCCAAAGAATTACGTATCGCCAAGAGGAAGTTTGCTGCAGGCACCTCATTGCCGCGCGTATGGTTCAAGCGTGGGGCTCAGCCGGACGAAATCGGATTCACTCGGCGTGGCAGTCGGGAAAATTTGTGTTCCCGTGTGTTGCATCGATTGGTAGGATGGCTCATGAACTTCAAAGGAAATGGTTGTGATCTAATCAAGGTATATATATTTTTTTTTTTCCATTGGCGCTAGAACTCTCATTTGGGCCTAGGCCTACCTCCATGAAACTCTCCGTTTCACTTCGGTTTACTAGATCTTACACATACGGTAGGACTCCTTGGGCGAGTGATTAGCTCGTCGCAAGGCCTCTACCTGTAGACAAACACAGAAAAACGCACACAAACATCCATGCCCTGAGTGGGGTTCGAACCCACGATCCCGGCTTCCGAGCGAGCGAAGACAGTGCATGCCTTAGACCGCTCGGCTACCGTGACCGGCTAATCAAGTTATATACCATCCTCGTATTTGCCTGGAATGACCGAAGGAAACCGCGCAAACCGCAGCCAGGGCCCCGACCGAGATTCGAGCAGAGCATTTTCCACATACACGCTAGGGCAGCCTGAGCGATAGGTTAACACAGCAGTTGGCTGTAAAGCATTCTCACAATGGTGTACGACACTCGGTATTACTGGGTTTTGGGACTTCGTCCATCGTCCGGTATTCTAAAAAGCAACAGAACACGACGTTTCGTTATGTTCTCTAGTTTCCTGGAATACCGGACGATGGACAAAGTCCAAAACAGCCAGCAATTCTAAGTAACGCAAAATCTGTTGCATGATGACTGGAGGCACGTACGCCAGTCGTGGCAAAATGGCAAAGTGTAATAATGGGTGGGGGAGGGCAGGTGGGAGATAGCAAAGGCGCTTGTTCAGCTTCCAGTGCACTTGACGCACTCTGAAAATTGCGCTGTAATGACAGCAAAGTTCTACGAAAACATTCTCGTCCTTGGGTTCCTCCAATCTTCATCCAACGCGTAACATAAACTCTCTGAGTTCAATGGTGTGTGCTGAACCCGTTCCACAGTTTCGGTGTGCGATCGATGATGCGGTACACTCCGAAAGCCCAA